CCTGCCTTTCCCCCCCTGCTATTTTGCTTCTGGCCAGGATATCTCCCCAAGAGTTCAACAGCTATTTCGGAAAGAGCTGCTGTGAAAAGACTTCACAGGGCTTCGTAGTTTGCAGGGATTCATTTAGAGTGAAGGGATGATTCATCTTACAATGGATGATTTTGTGTTCCCATAAGGGTGGCAGAGGGCTTCAATAAGGGCATTTCCCGTCTCCCAGCGTGCTTGCTGCCATCTGAGAGCTCGGCACAGGAGTGCCTGTGGTTTGCTCTGTCGTAACCGCCATCTGAGATACACTTTTTTTAATACTGAGGAGGACAGGGAGTACCTTGGGGTAAGATCTGGCACTACTAAGGCTGGCTGGCTCCAGAGGTGTGAAGATCACAGGTGCGAGACCAGCATGACCCCAAGTGTCTTTTGTTTGTCAGGCTGGAGTAACCTCACTGACGTCAAGGGTAAAACTGGGGAAGAATGAGGTCCAAGCCTAGCTTCCTAAATGTGCTTATGGTTAATAGGGCGAAGGGCTTTAAAAATAACTGTGCCATGGATGGAGTAAGGTATAAAAGTGACAGCAGGGCTGTGTATGTTCACAAGAGCGTGTTGTGGCCCTCAGATTAAATGTATCCAAGTTTTGCAGTGGGTCAGACTGAGCTGCCAGTTTCCTTTTTCTTTTCTTGTAAAGCCTGGGGAAATGCTGAGTCGATGACACAAATCCCATAGCTCCGGGTTGGTATGGCTTGCACCTGCCCCTCTCTCTCTCATAGATGCGTGTGTGTGTAGGTCAGCTCTTGCCTTTCTTCAAGAGCTAAGAGCGGGGCATTCCTACCTCCTGGCTTCTAGTTTTTCTAGTAAGCATTAGACCTTATCTCTCTAGATCATGTGAAAGGGAAATTTGGAGCCAGTCGAGCAAAGTTGCCAACAGCCACTTGTAATCAGAGGATTAAAATTGTAGGTTGGGGAGAAGGTGATGAATGCAAAATCCTTCTTAATGAGCACAGATCTTTCCCAAAGCTAGTGTATTCCTGCAGGGATGACAAAGCTTGGCCTGAGTCACCATTGTAACCATTAACATCCTGCAAAGGCATCTCCTGGGTAAGACCTGCCAGAGGACCTGTGTTAAGAACAGAGTGTTTCTAATGTGTTTAGAGAAGCTCAATTATTTTAAGCTGGGGTAGAATAGCTTGGCTTATGCTCTGCATTGTAGATGCCCATGATCAGCATTGCTTTCAGTGCAGTTGTCTGTGCAGGCGTGTCAGTGTGCATTATCTGAGAGAGCTTCTGCAACCACAAGCTTTCTGGTGTCTCAGTCACTTCAATTCATGCTTGTTCCTCCTAACCACATGACAGAAAAATAGATATTGGGGTATTGAGCTCTTCTGTGGGAGGTCATTGCTGCTTGTAGGGTCATGTATTTCCTGGTCCTGGATGTTAATAACCCTATCCTCCCCATTTCCCTGTCCTCCTCCTGTTAAAACCTTAAGATTCTTAAGCGGCGCCTCTCACCTCATTTGATCTTAGCATAAAGCTGAGAAGCTGATGCTGACAAACAAAGCAAGGTGTTGTCCTTGCAGTGTACCACTTCCTATGAATTATTCAGTATTTATAGCAGCCTGGTATGTGCTCACAGGCAACCTCAGGACTGACCCGAGACTAGAAAGACATAAATAGGCAGAAGTGGAATAGTCGCATTTTTGTAGACCTCTCTGCCTATCCCTTTTCCTTTGCAAAAGGCAACAGAGCCCAATCCATTTGCTCAGTAGCTGATCAAAGAGAGGCTTTTTGTGATGCTTAGGGTAAATAATGCTTGGCACTGACAAGAGTTCTTCAGCCAGCAACTGCCAAGCAGATAGAGCTCTCTCCATTTCAGAGAGGAGCGGGGGAAGTGCCTGAGGTCGCACGGTGCGTCAGTGGCGGAGCTGGACCAGACACAGGTATTCTGAACCCGTGTCGTGCTCCAGTCATTGAGTCTAACCATTGCCCCATGCACTGGTGACATGAACTAACCCAGGGCTTCCTACACTGTGGTCTGCGAAAGCATCTCGCCCTTTCCCACTTTCTGTGAAAACACAGAGGTTGAAGGTGCACCGTGGACTGCTAGGCATTTCAAAGGCTCACAGTGATGTATTAAGTCTGGGAAGCACTATACTAAGCCTTCCGTAACCATGTCCAGTTGGACATCACAAGTTTTTGCAGGATCTTTCTTGCTGATTTGGATCTCCCCACTTGGGCGTCACTCAGAAACGTGCTTTGAGTTTTGGCTTCGGACATAACCAAAATCCCATAGCAAAACCTATTACTTCCACTGTGTTTCATAGGATCATGGAAATAGAGCTCAGAGGACCCTGGGCAGGTCACCTCTTCCAGCCACCTGCTCAGAGACATGTCCAAACCTGTTTTCAGTTGAAAAAGCTGGGATGAACCTTGTGCCATGGCTTGTGCTAGTGAACAGCAGGGAAAAAAATCAAATGAGATGCAGCAAAACGTTTAGTATCTCATGTTGTTTGGATGTTTATGGGCTGATAATGGGCATAAGATTGCAGTTCTATTTCAGGCAGTGGGCCTCTTAGAAAAGGCCCCTTTGATGAAACCACGCCTGTTTCAAATGGGTTTCAGATGTCATCAGAAACAACAGATCCAGAGAACGCTTCTGGTTGATATGAGGTCTGAGTTTCAGGGCAGTTCTGTCAACTTTTATTGATCAAATATTAATTGTTTCCAATTTTTGCTTTCTTGATCCACTCAATCGGAGCTTTTCTCTAGGTGATGCAATAGGAACTAAATACATTACTCCCGTGAAGCCCTATTCACTTCCATGTGTGAAATCACCCTTGCAGGAAGGTAGGTCTGGGCCCTTTCTGATTTTATTGCAGTGTTATGTCTGTTCTGCCCCTAATATAAAGGCTGAATTCAAAGTCCTCTGCAAACCCCGTGCAAATATGAAAGGATTCAGCATGCAACATTCCCACGTTTTTTTTCCCTTGTTGGTATGTTCCTACCAAGTAAACACTGGTCTTTAGGGCCGGATTTGGGTTCAGAGATGCCAGGTCACAGCTGGAATAGCAAACAAATCTCTTGTACCACATCTGCATGTTGAGCGTTTGGGTTTTCACATGTCTGACAGCAGAATTTAACTGACTAAGTTTATGTAAAGACAAGGGAAAATTACTATCCTCTAGAGTGTAACAGGGGGATTAGCTTATCAAGAGTGTGACTTTCTTCTTTAAATATGCATTTTATGTACTCGTAGCATAAAAAGTTGGGTGAAGGGAGCAGGATAGGGAGATGCAGGGAAGGCGGACAAGGCCTTTGTAGAGAGAGATGGGCCCACAAGCAAGACTTAATGTCCAAAGCCCAACTGGAACTTTGCAGCTGGCTCCTCCTGGAGGAGGTGGAAGACACCACATCGTATTTTTTGCTCTAGCATGCATGAAATCCAGGTCCAGCTACAACCACAGTAGCTGCTGTCCTAACTGAAGGGATGTTGCCTCTATTAGCTGATTTGTCTCTAAAATACCAGTTCAGTCATTTTTGTTCTTTTTAGGATTTTCCTCTCTCTGGTTTCTGAAAGCCTGAATGATGCTGATTCTGAATGAAGCTGACCATGAGTTTTAAGGGCTATGGGGACAGGAGTTGTGTGATGGGTGAACTGGAAGAAAACAGACCTCTGAGAGAATGAATCCAGGACCAGACAGAAAGCCCTTGAGGTCCTACCCAAGCCGAGCCTCTTTGCCTTAGCTACTGAATTACAGTCTCTGCCCTGAAGACCTGATGATCTGAGCAGGCAAGAAAACAAAGTTTTGGAGAGAGAATGGAGGCACAGAGAGAGGGAGTGACAAAGCTAGTTTGTGGTGGTCCAGGGAGTAGAGCCTTAGCCCAGCCCAGCCCCATGCCTTAAATCAATAGACCTCACTGCCTGCCTGAGCCGCAAGGGTGGCGGGTGGCAGACAATACCAGCCCCGCAACCACCAGCTCAGCCTGGCTGGACACGTCCCTGCTAGGACATGTCTGTCCCTCAGCCCTTGGGCAGCAACACAAGCACCAGTGGGCAGAGGGCATGTGCATTTCCAGGGCTGTTTCAGAACAACCCAGGGACCCAGGAGGTGTTGGGGGGGAAAAAAAACATTTTAATTATCCTCAGCAAGTGACACATTCAGACCCTTCGTGTCAAATCCTGCCTTCTTAGCTCCATTACAATAAAACCCCACCTGGGTAATTAGCCAAATCATCCCCCTCCTTCCTTGCAGATGCATAATAAGGCTGCATTTTATTGTGGTCACCTGCATTGCTCTCTGCAGGATGCCAGCACATGTCCCTGTGTAATGCCATATACTTGGTTTGTACACAGACCACCCCCCCCAGCAAAGGTGGTGGGATAGGTTTTTATTTTTTTTCTCTTTACCTTTAGCTTTTCTTTAAAGTACTCACTCACCGAGAAGTGCAGCTATTGGGAAACCCTCGGGGATGTGCCATTCCCAACAGCAGCATTTTTCTAGGCTTCCTAACACACAGAGCCACATTTCTCATGCCATGTAATTCTGGCCTTGTCTGCTGTACTTCTCACAACCTGACATGCTTCCCTAATGGGGGAGTAACCTGCTGAGCTCGTGCAGCCTGATCCTGCAGTCCTTGGGGTCGGTGCCAGTCTTGCGTGGCTTAGGAGCGGGGTTGAAGCAACCTAGTGAATTGTGAAATTTGTGTCAAATCTGAAACCGGCACCCTTAGGCCCATGTTGTATTCTGCTCCTTCCTTCCATCTCCATTTCAAAGTCTG